GTGTCCAAGACGTCTTGTGGCATACCACAAGGCTGAGTCTTAGGTCCTCTCTTCTTCGTTATATATATTAATGAATAATGACTTAGTCCGAGCTATTCACTCTAATATTCTTTTGTATGCAGACGACGTAAAAATATACAGAGATATAGCTAAATATGCGGACTGTCTATTACTGCAAACGGATTTACTTTATTTCCTGCAGTGGAGTAAGTTGAATATGCTTACAATAAATTTTGATTAATGTCAAATAATGTCCTATACTAACAAGAATTCACAAATCTCATATGATTATACTTTAAATGAAGCTGTGTTATCCAGAGTCGACTACTTTTCTGACCTGGGCGTGACTTTCGATCCCAAACTTACTTTTCGAGCACATATTAACAACATCTGTGCAAATGCTCGGAAATCCTTTGGATTCATTCTGCGTTGTGGCAGCAACTTCAATGACCTGGAATGTTTGCGAATCTTATACTTTTCTTAGGGGGGCTCTAGGTTGGAATATCCAAGTATAGTATGGTCCCCTTTCTGTCAAAACCACACTGAAGCTCTAGAAAAGCGCAGTTTTCTTAAATATTTAGCATATAGAGTAGATGGTACATATCCAATAAGAGGTATACCCCAAATATCTCTTTTAAACCAATTTCAACTTACGGATTTAAACACTAGACGCACTTCTTATTCACTGAACTTTCTTAGAAATCTAATGTGCTCACAAGTTGACTGTTCCAATCTTCTCAGCAAGCTCAATATCTACTGTCCAAGACTTTCTTCTCGTGACCACCGTTGTTTCTATCTGTCTTCACCGCGTATAGATGTCGAAAAGTACTCGCCTGTTTATCAAATGACCAATAATTTTAATCTGAGTCAGAATGATTTTGATATTTTTGTTAACGTTCCCTATGGGATAAAGTAGTCATTTTACCTATTACACATTTACTTTGCACTGATTTATACATTTCAATTAATTGTCCAGTTTTTCTTTACTTTAGTCACTAAAAAGCGTTCTTTCAAAAAATATAAACACTCTACATTTAAGTATAACTTCAAAACGTACACTTGAACGTTATTGACTCGACTATTGGTTTCCTAGCAGACCCTCAAAGAGATCTGCGTTGTGCAGAGTCCAAACAAAAAGTAAATTTTCGATTTACTAATTTTATTTGCATGAGGATAATCCGTGTGCGTATGGTCAAAAAAATTAAATATATTTTTATGAAACCACAAATAAAGACCCACATCACAATATAAATTTTAAACAACTTTGATTTTGAAAAATCAATTCAGGTCATCAAAATTTTTGTACTGATGAACAAAAAATATTTGGATAGCGTTTTACTTACTACGTACGTGCTAATTAAAAAGAACCACAGTCATCAATCCAGTCGGTAGTTTAGAACAGAAGAAGATCTCTCCCCAACAAACACACAAGTGATTACTCAATCACCATTTTCACATTTTACAAGCTACAAATATCAGGAAAATATGAAATTAGACGTTCATCAAAGTGACCATATTACAAAACTTCCCTAACTTCCGCCCATAAAGTAAAATTTCTAACAATAATGAATTTATACCCACTTTTTTTGGTTAATATATAAATCTTTTGCATTTAAGTACCTACTTCCGGAATGTCATTCATGCATACCACAACCACGGCACTGCAAATAGAATTTCTTTGTTATTTTTAAATAAGCTGCACTAAAAATAAAGTGATTCAACGCCGTTTTTCCCTTTTTGCTCTTCTCTATGCTGTTTCGTCGATTAGGTAGAGCGTGGCTGAAAAACATTTATTTGTTGTTTACCCAAAAGCATTTCCATCAAAGTTCTTGGCAAACAAACATGTCGATGTCTGATTACACTGGTTGCTTCTTTTACTTATGCCGCGAGCGCTTTTCCACATTGCTAAACTCGTCTGCTTTCCCTAGCATCTTCCAGCTTAACTAAATTATGAGCTGTGGTGTGTTTTATTTGCGGCACTCCTTAACGATGCGTTCATGTTTTATGTATCTCCAGACGGCAACGGCAGTGTACGGAGTGACCCTTAACAAGCACCCTGGAGTCGTAACACCGCAACTTGGGTTTCTACGACCCTTTCCTTGTAAAAAACACATAAATCACATGACTAGCGCACCTTACAACGTCTTTTCAGTAAAAGAGAAAAACCTATTTGTGGTTTCTTAATTTTTATTAAATTTTCTCAACCGGTTCTATGGGTGGGGTTAGCTTCTTTTATGCACGAGAAGCAAGAGGTAAACCGAGTTACGAATATCTCATTCTCTCTCGACAATTCTTTACAGACGCCGCATTTCTGACGCCCATATTTTCCACAATACGTTATAATGGAGGGAATTACTAATCGCCATCTCATTCACCAAGTTAATATAATTAACTTTATTCATGGAAGCTCGCCAGATTACACTACTTTGCTAACAATCGCTTTAATAAAAAGTGGGTTGATCCGCACAAAATTACAAGCTTATTTAAAAATGGAGATTATTTTTGGATAGAGAAAGTGAGGACTGTCTTTGTTGTTTTTTATATTTTGTTTTAGATGAAGCGTGTTAAAATATAACATGTGAAAAAAACAAATTAAATTACAAACTACGTTCGAGTTTTAGACAATAAACTTTTTTTTTATTTAACCTTAACTTACCGTTATTAAAAATGTTATCAAATAAGAAGTTTATGGAATGCAATTTAAAGTAAAATGCCTAAAACAAAAATGTTATATATACTTTTGTAATGAATGTAGACAATTGGTTATCTTGTAAATATGCTTATTTTGATATGTAGCCTACATTCTAGCGTTATTCTACATTGCGTTGCAGTAAGCAAATCGGTATTAGCATGTACTCTTTGTATTCTACTGAAAACCACTGTTCATTATATTGGATATACAGCTTTTTTTATTTATATCAATTACACAGTTTCAAAATTGCCCATGTTCAGATCCCGCATACACTATAGCCTATAGCTAATTCGGGTCACTAGTGTGTTATAGAGGTCTAGGGAATATTTCATCAAGAGAAAAAGTGAAAGATATTTAACTAGGTTTCAGACAAACTAATAATTGAAACAGTAACTTTTACGCTATTAGTTTGAATGAAAGCATGTAACCTCAATAATGCTAAACATTTCTTGACGAAAAAATTATCAAAATTTACCAAAAAACAGAGTCTTACTTCCTAATACCTATTTTCCTACTTATACTTACGACAAGCCGAAGAGACAGATGCAGAAATCATTCTAATAAACCGGTGTCAATAATCTCGCGAAAACAACAGGTAATTAATGCATTATCCAAACAAATTTCAGTTGTGATTAGTTGCATAGATAAAATAGTAACAAATTGGTATCTGTTTCTATGTCAATTTCTATATAATTGAGACTGGTGAGATCAAATCATTGCGCAATCAAATAATAGAGAAGAATGCAAGGCAGGAGAGAAAGAAATGTGAATGAGTTTAGTATCTGGTTACCTACGAGCTGAAAACCTTTAGTTTAAGCTTTCGGGGTATCTTACTATTGTAGAATACCACACGATTTAACCTTGACTATTATCATCAACACCATCATCATCACTCCAGGAACCAGGAACAGGAAAGACGTGGTCAATACATTTGTGTTGTACGTTGATGTCAACTCAATTGCAGCTAGAGCTATTGGCTCGTTCTGCTGAAATCATCTCACAAGCTACTAATCATCCAGATGAAATCAGTCAGTTGTTGAAACATGAGAAACCAGGTATTCAGGGAACCACGTTTGGATGACAAGGCCTTCGTGGAATATAGTTTGGAGGGCAAAGTTATCATGGACTTGCCTTTTAAAAACAAAATTTTAGTAGGGAATTGTCTATTTGGAAAATCCTGTATTTAAATTTTATAAGAATGACATAATCCTACACTTGCTGTTTATGAATCCGCCTTGATATTTTCCCCGAGGCGTCCAAATTTTCGAAAAAATCGAAATTGTACAGCAACCTTTTATACTAGTGTGAGCGGAGTACCTATAATATTATTCGTTAGCTTATTGCATACAGTATTAGCCTTCAGACTTGTAAATAACGCGAAAATCACGCATACTGGGTTATTGGTTTCTTATACTTTTACTGCTATTACCTATATTTTCTATTGATCAGATCTCAAGGACGGTACACCCTTTGTTATTAGTAATACACTGCACGTGTCAAATGGGAAAATTCACTCACTGCATTTATTTTTCAGGAGCAATAATTGTTAATCCGTTTTCTAACATGAGTGGAGGAGAAGTACACTCAAAATCAACCATAAATAACTTAACAGAGAATGATTTCGTAACATAATGCGTTGGCATTAAAGACAATGAGTAAGGGTAATTAAAGTATGATATATTAATTAATTAAAAAAAACAACTCTACAAGAATCTTAAAAAATATATATAATGTCGTTTAAAAAAAGTTGGATGTCGTACATAAACAGAAAAAAAATGATAGGATGTTAAACCCAGTTATAAGATGTGTTTCATGTCATTTAGCTACTTGCGCTGTTACTGGTACAGTGTGGAATTGTGCCCCTGGGACACCAAGAAATTTCTAGGCAATCTCTGAAAGAGTCTACTTCGGAATCCCACATCTTTAACAGAATTCCGATCCAAAAATATTCCTGCGTTTCACATATTCAGGATGTTACAATTACAAAGGCAATAAATATTCCCAATTACATAACAGATACATAAAAAGTTGATAGGTAAATATTAATAAAATTATGTTTTTTCCTAGCTTTGTTTTTCTTGGTAGCAATATCAAAGTTCCAAAAACATAATAGTTTTTTCAAATCGCCAATGTCACGGGCAAAACTGAAAATAATAACATTAATGTTAATAACAATAACAAGAATATTACCCAAACAACATCCGATTACAGTACTATAGGTCCGCACTTCGTAAATTTCCCGTGGAACCCCCATGTCTTCAATCCGACACTGTACTGGCCTTACCTATACTTATTTTAACCATGGCCGACTTCATTAATATACACTAACGTGTATATACGGCCGTTTCAATTTTTGATTTTCCATTAGAAAAAATGTTCCGCCGCCTAGTGCATATTGTGGCGCCCTCACACGACAGATCTCGTGCTATTTCTGTCAAATTAATTGTCAAGTTGAAACTGACATTGACAACAAATTTTACTCGAAGCATAAAAAAGAAGTTTGGTTCAGATAATAATGTTTTTTTTTAATTTTATCACAAAACACAGTAAGTAAAACAATAATATTAACGTAAACTACAATTTCAATACTTTTCGACTTTTAGGTTTAAAATTTAATGCAAATCTCTTGACAGAATCTGTGGTCTCCAAGCAAAGATTGCTGAGAACTGGCTTTACAGTCGTTTTGATTATATATTTGCACACAGAATCCCTGTGATTTGCACAGACAAAAATAGGATTTTGCACAAGGTGTGGATACAGTTCTTCAAGTATGTATTTACCAGGATTATCATGTTGTAGAAATGGCAACATTTGCTGGATGCTTTCAGCTATCAGCTGAATAATACCAACAAAGATATCTTTGGGATAGACTAAACCTCCTCAGTTTTGAATGGCAATCAATTGTAGCAAAGGACCTGGAATGCTAGTACATAATAGAGGTGTTAAACATTCATCACAATGAAATAAATCTTCTAATTTTTTTATGATGTATCCTGCCAAGAAAGCTACTATATTATTATCACTTCTTAAGATTGTGAATATTTCTTCGTACTTCAATTGGAAATATGAGTTGTTCTGTGTGCTTAGTAAAGCTCTCTCTGTTTTCTTGTAAATTTAAAATATTTGCAGGACTAATATAGTTAACATTTTCAGCAGTGTTTGAGGAATGGGAAGCTTTAACAATCCCACAACGAAGAATTTGCCTTAATGCATAATCTGCAGCTCTGGCATCTGTGGCATCATTAGAACCACCTTTCAGTCTTACATGTGAAAACATGGCCTCTACAGCGTCTGAGCTAAAGGATCGCGTTACAACATAATAGAAGCCAATCTGGCTTAGCAAAAATTTTATAAATTTTTAAATCCAACGTCTACAGAAGTCTTCTGGATATCGTCAATATACTTTGGAAATGTGACATTTAACCAGTCAAGACGTTCATCTGAAATATGCACATATGGTGCAATACTGCTATCTAGTGAACGAAGATAGTGATCTCTGCTTGAAACATTATGCACCTGAAAAAAATGGTACATGTTTTCCATATAGAATATAGAGGCATCAGCGTCTACAAAGCGATCGTCCCCTGGAGCTTTTAGAAATTTTAAAGAAGAGGTTACAGTAGGTGAAAAAACTTGGATTGCTCTTAGGACATTCATTTTTTCAAAGTTTGATGGAAATAGATGCTTCTTTGTTAAATATCTGACAGGCTTTACTGGCATTCCTTTCTGCAAATCATACAATAATTTGAGGTAACATGATGAAATTTTGCCTTGAGAAGAATACATATCATGGTCTAAAAACAAATTTCGTGCATTTTTTAGAGCATGGCAGAAATCGAAACTCAAAAATAGTGGAATATGTTTGAGAATGGGATGATTAATGGAATTTTTCAGTGATCCGTTTCCAAATTTTTTAAAGAGGGCGACATTTGTTGAAATATTGTCTGTAACAAATCTAATCACAATGTAGCCGCAGTTTGTCAGAAGTTGTAAAATGTTTTTTGTTAATAAATATAATTCCTGAGTTGTTAACAACGAGTGGAAAAAATATCCTGCTGGTATTGTATATCTAGTACTCAATCCCTGCACCACAAAACAAAGCATCTTGTTGGCTACTTTTGGCTTAGTTCCAACACGAGTAGAACTTGTTGTCTCTAGGCCATAAATTCGATCTTCTGCCCTACAGTAATGAATTTTTCTTTTATGGACATGTCGTCCATTATTAAGGAGCAGATTTCAACTGGCTTTTTTAATTGACCAATTTCTGCACACAATCGCTCTTGGATCAGCTTATTTTGACCATGATAGTGTCCAAGAAATCTGGATATAGTCGATTTTGAAGGCAGTTTTAGTAAGTTATTGTGGCAAAATCTGTAACCTTTAGGCGAACAAAATCTCCAGACAGTACACAGACGAAGAGACATTTCTGACCACCTAGGTATTTTTTTATAGTGATTTTTTATCAAGTCCAAAAGAAATATTGACTTTTCATCTGCGTTGTTTGCGTCTTCTATAATTTTGGTTATTTTTAAAGCATCCAAATTTTTTACTTTTTCTTCTAACTCTCTCATTTTTGATAAACATTCAGAATTCTTTCGTTTCATTCTACTCAATTGTTGCTTTAAAACTTTGTTGTGGTACCTGAGATCTTTAAGTTCTTGTTTATCCTTTGCACTTAAATCATCACATGTGGAAACATTAGTTTCCTTATTAGCATTTTGGAATGAGGAAACGGAAGTTGGATAAGTGTCTTCTAAAAAAGGATTTGTTGGTTGGGTACTAGAAATGTCAGGATCAGTAGGATTCTGGAATGATGACAAAGATTTATAGATTATGTGAGGTACGTAGATTTTTATGTACATACGAATATAAACGGAACCGCTTGTTTATTAAGACGAGTACTTTTTGCGCTTCTAACAATACATTCTGTTGCAAAATGTTTGGAACACACAACAGTATGATCGTTTATCTTGGTCAGATCTAAAATAATTCGAATAAAATATTTTTTGAGGAACTTGTTTTATGAAATACCACAAAATTTTGAAAGTGATTCAAACCATTTGTTTCTAAAATCTACTTCCGCAGGAATTCCAAAAAGTGGATTTTGTGTATTACAACAAATCATACACTTTCTTCCCATATTAAAAAGACCTAGTTTTATTAACAACGATAATAATTCATGCCCAAAATTATTTTGGATTTGAAAATTGTCAAAGAAAATTTCTGACAGTAGTGACAGTTTAGTTCAAGACATTGCCGTGGGTGGCGTATGCTTATGTACCCATGGATTACTACGCGGGAACAAATTTTTAAAAAATTGAAACGGCCGTATATACACGTTAGTGTATATTAATGAAGTCGGCCATGTTTTAACGTACTCGTACAAAGATTATCACAATTAAAAGTTCACAACATTTTTTTTTAATTTTTCAAAGAAGCGACATTTTTTGAACACAGACGAGGGAAGTCTTGTAGAAACCCCCTCGACCAATTTTCACTTCCTGAGCGTAAGCTAAGGAGGATAAGTAATCGAATCCCTCGGACTAATGGCCACTTTTATGTTTTCTTGACGTTTCATACCCCTAGAATACGAAAAAAGTAGTCTTCCGTTGCCGTCTGTCTGCCTGTCTGCCTAGTGTCTGTATCCATTTTTATTAGACATGTAATCTCCAAAACTACTAGACCGATTGTTGTCAAATTTTGCACGTATATTAGAAATATTATGTCATGACGTCATTTCAAAGAATTCTGTTTTAAAATTGTTTAAATGTTATACAGTAACAAACTCCTATATTTGTGGTGTACGAATGCGCTTTAAGTTTTTTATCTAAACGGCCAAATATTTACAAAAAAAAATTACACAATGTGATAACATGCGTTACCACAAACTCAGGATATAAGCAACTGTGGTCAAGTGTTTGAGACATCAGGAGGTTGCAAGTTTATGACGTCATAGCAATTTTTTATTGATCAAATTAACAACGAGTCATCCCATTTTCTCGAAAAGGTGAGAATACGCACGTATTTATTTCATAAAAATTATAATAATAATATTCAGAATATTCGGTTCTACTGTGGCTTAATTAATAAATTTAGTCATCTCTTTTGAGGTGACAAATTCATTAAAATCAAACAAACCTATACGTGACATTCTTCCGATGTATAAACAAAGACTTATTATTCCTGAGACCATTTTTTCCCGTTTGTTATCTGCTTTAAATATATTTTACGTTATCTGTACTTATGCAATTTACACAATCCCTTGCAATTTGGGGCTGCTGGGGTCTTTTATTTATGCCGCTGGTTTTTATTTTGTAGAGGTTATCACGAAACAAACATCGCAAAATCTAATTTTATAATTTTTCAAAGAAGCAGGATTTGTTGGACTTACACTTTGTAGCCAGGGAAGTTCTGTAGAAATAAACTTCGACCAATTTTTTTATAACGTATTTATCAGTTTAAGTTTTTAATGAAAGACATTTAAATCTGCAGAAATAAGTTTTGTAAATATGAATGAAGCAATAGCCAACTGGAAACCTTGATTATCAAGATTTGTGGGAAAGGGCACGCGTAATTCGAAAAACAAAATACATACACTTTAGTAGCTAACATATTGATAAGAGTGACAAGTGACAACGTTAGTTAATATTTATCAGAGCAAAAATTCTGATATTAAAATGGTTATTAAATTTTATACAGAGTACAACTCTTGAATCCCAATCGATCTATTAAAGAACCATGAAAATAAAACTGAAACATAAGTATTTTTAAACTTTTTCTCAAACAAAAAATTTGAATGCAGCAATACACCATTGTCTACTAATGAAAAATGCTTTACAGTATCGATTTTGAGATTGTAAAAAATAAAAGGATAGATGAAATCACATGCAGTAACACATGTCACAGTTAATTTATCAATAAACATAAAATCTTTGAAATCGTTTTCAAACTACCAAAATTATACATATATATTGTTACTTAACATTCGTGGGTTCAAAATTCTTAACGCAATGTACTAAAATTAAGTCTCATCTGAGACAATTTTTCACCTCCTACAAAGTTCCACGATTATTCTGAAAACTTTATTCTGTTTATTCTCGAGACCACCGCCCGACCACAAAAAAAAAACTTGATTTAGCACTTTAAATTAGATTCCGGCTTTCGTCTTAATTATTTTACGATTTGTGTATATACAAGCCGACAGAAAAAGACCGTATTAATCACATGCCAAATTTCAAATCAATTGAATTGATAAATGAAAAAAAACCTTCCCAGAGGCATACTACTAGGGCAGTCTTACAAGTTTGAAATTCTTGCGCACATTACGGAAACGTGTTGTACATAAACAAATACAAGTGCAACATTAAGAATTAAAACTCTATCACAGTTTCAGAAAATAGAAACATCTTAATGGTACCTATATTAGTTGCTGTTTTCTGGGTACTAACCGTTGAAGGAGTTTCTCAAGGATAAGAATAGAAAATAGTGGATACTATTTTCATTTTGACATTTTACGATAGTGTTGCACAATATATAATATTAATATGACATTGTCTACAAATAATAAATATGTTCACAATGATTAAAAACGCTTTTCACTATTACTTTTGACCAAAACGTGGAATAATATTGTCCTATTGGTCATGACACTGAACACATATGTTAGATACAAAATATATATAATTAAACGTAAATAAAATAGTCTTTGAATATTTTAAATTTACATTATTCAGCATAGTACTCGATGAAGTGGCTTCCAACCAGACTTCTGAATTATTCATACAAAATTTGACGTACATTTGCTTCAAATGATAATTAAATATACCAACAACACCTAGATACGTTACGTATAAGTCAAGAGTTTCAGCTAGAACTCAACGATTTATATGCAGCATTCATTTCACCGTCGGTATCTCAAATTTCAGCATTTCAGCACACAAAAAAAATGCAATTAAAAGAAGCGAAACACAAAGAACTTGCAGAGTTCGAATAAGGGAAAGGAAACATTAATCTAACAAGTTTAGGAAAGTAGAAATCGAAATAATTAATTTTCTTTGAATTTGAGCGTAATAATAAAACTCGAGAAACTCACAATGATCGATGTTAAAGTTGCATTTCTGCACTAATGGGAAATTGCTCTTACGAACTACAACTACTAAAAGCTCTCCCCGATAGCAATCTTACACGAACATATTGTTCTTCCGTGTTGATGGATTTTCCTGTACAACTCTGTTCAATTTAAGGTATGTATATACAATGAGAAGTGTGTTTATGCACACCATTAGAATCTTATAAGATTACAAAGGTCCTGTAATAGGAC